CACCCACCCACCCACGCAGCTGGCAAAGGGTGGTTGCTCAGCCCTGGGCCCTGGGCTGGCGAGTGTGCCTGTGAGCGCTTTCTTCTGCTTCCCATCGGGGACACTGAGGCAGAAGGACAAATGAGGCCAACTCGAACTCCCCAGCTCGCCAGCCAGCCCCCTTCTGCTTCTGCCCCCTGAGCATACCGGTGCACTGGGCCAACCTCTCCTTCGCTGGGCCTCACCCCTCCTCCGTGGCCAGGCTCCCAGCCTCTCATCCAACCACAGCTATTTCCAGGAAGGGAGGGGGGTGTGGGTGGAGGGGGTTTTCCAAACAAACCCAAAGTTTAGAAGTGAGGGGTGGGGGGCCCTCTGGGGAAGAGGCTGATGAGATCTGGAATGTTCCAGGCAGGAGAAGGGTGAGGGTCCAAAGGGGTCTGCTGTTCCCTTCCCACTGGCCCCCAGTGAATTAACTTTGACTAGCAGAGAGATTCTCATCCTTCTCCAATCTCCCTTCAGACATTCTGGGGAGGGACTCAAAGCCCCAGGGGTCCTAACCACCCAGCCCCCCTCCCACTTTTTAATGTGCCCCTAAACCTCACAACAGTCACTCTCTTGCTGGGCCTGGGTGCGCAGTATCTGAGACCAGTGAGGCCAGAGGCTGCTTGGGGACTTGGTGGGGAGGGGAATTGTGCCCCTCAGGAGGCAGCCCTAGAAAGCAGTGTGTGTGAGAGCTCCAGGTTAGGGTTGTATGCCATAGACAGAAGGGGGAACAGGGCAGAGGAACATTACCCTCACCCAGTGGCCACCGTGCCCCTTCACCCATAGCATAGTGGGGACTGAGGGCTAGACTAGGCCAGGCCCAATTGCCCACCTGGCCAGAGGCCTGGAATGTAGCTGGGACACAGCCAGGACTGAGGGGAGGAAGGGAGCAGATTTGCAGAGCCAGTGCCCTCCCCATTTATGAGCCAAGGCCTAGGCCTTGCCACACAGATGCCACCTTCTGGCAAGGTACCCTGGAGACAGACTTCCTGGCCTAAACTGGAGTTTCCAGGCAGGGAGAGGCTTCAGGCTAGACCCAGTGCAGACAAGCCCTCAGAAGACTCCCAAAACTGGGCTCATCCAAAATTCAGGATTATATCAGCCTTCCTTCCACTGGATGGTCACGAGGGAGGAGGAGGGAAGTTGAAGGGACCCTGTGGGAGAAGCCAGAGCTGGGGGAGTTGGCTGAGCGCTGGGGCATTCAGTAAATACCAAGCAAATGAGGAGGACATATTTGTACATTCTTACAAGTGACAGCTACAGCCAGTCTAAAGAACAGCTGTCCAGGACCTGGGACTGAAGACCCCCCCCCCAGGCCATTAACCCCTGTTTTAGGAAGATCACTCCCCCCTTTCCAAGGCCCCATCTACCTCCTTCCCTTGACTCCTGGGACAGGAAGTTGGCCTTGTTCCCAGGAGGGAGGCAGGAGGCCCTGGAGGGGGGTGGAGTGTGCATTGGGAGGGGGCCTCCTATCCAGTCCTTAGGCCCAAGGACAGCTGCTGAGGAAGGAGAGCAGAGCCAGGACAACTATGAAGGTAGTACTCAGAACTTGGGGGTAGGAGGGGGGGCAGGAAGGGGAATCTGGGGCCTGGGGTCGATAGAAGGCCTCAGGTTTAGGATAAGGGATAAAGTGGGGAGATGCTGTGTCTGTCTGGGGCAGAGCACTGAAGTCCTCAGAAGGGCAGGCAGCAGAATAGATCCCTCCTGTGGGCAGTGAGGTCTTCTGCCTGGAATTTGGCCTTGCAGGGTATTTAGGGGGAAGGGTAGGCAATGCATGATCATCCTTTTCCAACTTCATAACCAGAAAAAAATGGATCCTCGGCTGCTCTGGATAGTGGTTCCCAGCTCCGTCCCTTCCTCCCTCCCCTTGGGAAGTCCCAGGGGAGTGTGAGAGTTCCGGAGACTGGCTGGGACATCTTGTTCCCCACTGGCCCTTGAGCCCAGACTGAAACCTGAATTCCCACCCCACCCCACCAGGGGCTGATCGCAGGCAGGTCTGGATCTGAGGACCACAGAGCCCTGTAGATCATGATCCAGGGTAGATCCTCTGTGTGTGTGACAGCTCCAGAGGAGAGGGGGACAAAGATCCTAGGCTGACACTCCCAGCAGGGTAGATCCTGGGAATCTGATCTCCTGGCCTCCCCCACATCCTCCCCCCCCCCACTTCCTGGAGTGGTGACCTGCCCCCTTCCCGCCCGCACTTCCCTCCACTTCTCCTCACACCAGCCAGACAGCATACCCTCCTCCGCCCATGGGAAGCGGCTGCCTCCGTCAGGCTGCTTCCAGGAAACCCCGGGCCAGGCCCCAGCATTGTTCAGACCCCTCGGCCGGCCGAGGCTGAGGCAGCCAGACACCATGAAGTCCAGAGGCCCCGTGGAGAGGCTGCTCAGAGCCTTGGGGAAGGACAGCAGCCGGGCCACCAGCAGGGTAGGAGTACCCATTGGCTGGGCAAAGGTGGGGTTAGGGTGGAGGTGGGGACAGTGGGGGAGGGGTCAGGGGCCAGGCCAGATCTTCTTCCCTAATTTCAGCTTCCTCCTCTGCCCCTTACCTCCCCCCTCCTCTCCCAAGCCAGGCATCCTCATACCTCCGGACCCCTGGGGTGGCTAGGGTTGGCAGGGTAGCAGGAGATATCTGTTAGGTAGGATCCTGCCACCTGCTTGAGCACTTCTACCGTTTTCTGGGCTTGAGCCTGGACCAGAAGCAGGGGTCCTGCCCCCTGCCCCAGACCTCCAGACTTCACTGGAGAACTGTGCCAGACACTGGCTGGAGCCTCTCCCTGGCACTGTAAGTGTGAAGGAAATGGGGTGATAAAGAGGCAGAGGAAGGCAAGGAGGAGACCAGGTCTCAGGAGGGCTTTGAGCAAGAGGTTTGCCTTCTACTGACATGATCTGTACCTGCTGTTTATGCTGAATGCTCCCACGTGTCCTAGGGGGTCCCCCTTGCCCTAGCCCCAAAGAATTCCAAGACAGTCAAGAAGTCAGAAGTGGCCGGAGACCAGTGGCTCACGCCTTTAATCCTAGCTGCTCCGGAGGCTGAGATCTGAGGGTCACAGTTCAAAGTCAGCAGGAAAGCCAGGGCAGGAAAGGCCATAATAAGACTCTTACCTTTAATTAAACACCAAAAAAAAAAAAAAAAGCCAGAAATGGAGCTGTGGCTCAAGTGGTAGAGCACTAGTCTTGAACAAATAGAAGCTCACAGAGAGTGCCCAGGCCCTGAGTTCAAGCCTCAGGACTGGCACCAAAAAGAGAGAGAGATTAGATGTGCTCCTGGGTCTCCCACCCCCTTCACTCCCTTTCCCACTTCTCAGCATTCCCTTTATTTTTTTTTGTCAGTCATGGGCCTGAACTCTGGGCCTGGGTGCTGTCACTCAGCTCTTCAGCTAAAAGCTAATGCTCTTCCACTTGAGTCACAGTGCCACTTCTGGCTTTTTCTGCTTATGTGGTGCTGAGGAATCGAACCCAGGGACTCATGCATGCAAGGCAAGTGCTCTACCACTGAGCCACCTTCCCAGCCCTTCAACATTCACTTTAAGCAGCAGCACTACAAGCATGAGACAATACAGTGGGAGGGTGGGTCAATTTAGAAAGGCAGGAGGAGCTTATTTATACTAGGGGGAAAAAATGGGTAGAGAGGAGAGCATGGAGGCCAATTGGCCTCAGACACAAAGGTAGGAGGAGTGGACCCAAGCAAGGTGGGCATTCAAGATGGGGACCTTCCATAGGAAGGGACTGAATAGCCAGTTTTTAGTCTCATTTTGCTGGAGTAGGAGGAGCCAGGAAGGGCAACTGGCCCACCCCCACCCCCTCCTCACTTAGTGCTTGAATCCAACTTTCACATGGGGCCGTGGGTGGTCGGGCATTCTCTACATCCAGAGGTGTCCCAGAAGCTAAACATCTCTCCCCACAGCCCCTCCTCCCTCTGGCATCACCACCCCCTCCTTACACAACTGTGCCTGCCTGCCGGCTCAATGCACAAAGAGTAAACATGTTGTTCTAAGCATGGGGGAGGGCAATGTGTCAGCTGCCTGGAGCGTGGGGACAACGGGAGACAGGGGAGCAGGGCTGGCTGAGGCCACTTCTGCTGGCTCAGCTTGGGTGTTCTGTGACTGATACTGCACACATGTCTGGACCTCCTGCTTGCTCTGCACATGGACCTCTATCTGGGGAGGACAAGGCAGAAGGCGAGTCAGAGATCAGCCCACCAGGAAGCTAAAGGCTGAGGGTTTGGCAGTGACAATGTCATCACAGCAGGGCCATGTGAGGGGGTCTTGGGGAGGTGCTGACCCAGCAAAGGTCACACAAAGGGCCACATTCCAAGCGCTGTAGAGGGCAGGCTCCATGACCATCCTGCAACAGCTGTGACCAAAGGTGCCCTCTGAGTTTGGGGGTCTGACGGGATGGAGGAAGGAAAGCAGGACAATGTTAAGGCAAAGTCCTTACCCAGTCCTGCAGATGAGCCTTTTGGAAACTCAGTTCTGTCTGTCTGTCCCTCCACCCACAGCCTAGGAAAGCAGAACCACATAGCTTCCGGGAGAAGGCTTTCCGGAAGAAAGCTCCAGTGTGCGCAGTGTGTAAAGTGACCATCGATGGGACAGGCGTCTCGTGCAGAGGTGAGACGCACTGACGGCCTCTGAGCCCCTCCACCTCGCACCATCACACCACTGTGTGCGCATTGGGCACCAGGGGACCAGGGGAGCCTCTCCCCTTCAAGTGACCCTAAGTCCTTGCACTCACCTTGCCACATCCCAGGAGACTCAGCTCTGCCCGCCACCTTCCCATCCTGACCTCTGACTGGGGGCTTCCTTCCCTCTTCCTCCTCACCACCATCCATACTAGAACAGGATCCTGGTGCCCTGCTCACCTTCCAGGCAGTAGCACCCACTGCCACACTTCCCTCTGACCCTGCCCTGCTTCCTTACCCTGACAGTCCAGCACAGTTTCCAGGGCCTGGGAAGAAGGGGGACTGTCCCAACAGGCTCCTACCAACCTTTCTCTCCCTTTCCCCTCTCTAGTCTGCAAGGTGGCCACACACAGAAAATGTGAAGCAAAGGTAGGTGTTGGGTTCTACTTGATGGGGCCAGAGTTTCTCCTCCTACTCCCCAAATGGGCTTCTCTAGCCACATTGGCGTCATCATCCTACCCTCTCCACTGTCATCACTGGGAACCCCCTTCTGGGTGGAGATGCTGTGTTGGGCCCTTTAAGAACCACCCTACTCCACCCCTGGAGGGCCGGCCCAGGCGGGTGGACAGTGAGACAGAGTTTGTCTTGGTGCATTGCCCAGGCTGCAGCTGGCGAGAGGATGGGGGTGGGGAAGAGGAGGAGAATGAGGAGGAGGAAGGGTGGGGTGGGTGGGGAGGGAGCAGGATTTCAGAAACTGGGCAGCCGGATGGGTTGTGCCTTCCCTGTGCAGAAGGCTCCTCAGGATGCTTGGATGCTTTTTGTCCTCGGCCTTTCCAGATGCAGACTGTAGATGGCACCCACTGTCCACTGGGGACCTGAAACAGTCCTGTCTCTGAGGTTGTTTCCCAGTCCTCCTGGCAGTGCAAGGAGGTGGTCCTAGGGCCTTGTAGCAGGCTGGGGAGCAGTGTGCCCAGGGGCGGGGTCTCCTGGTGAAAGAGGCCAGTGTCCGCCCCTGGCCATAGCCTGCCTACATGGCTCTATATATAACTCCTGTCCTACAGCTGGATGAATGGGGGTCTGTGTGGGCAGGGGGCTGAAAGCCAAAAGCAACAAGTGGGGGACCCAAAAGGTGGGGGGACTGAGAGGCCAGAGGGGAGCCTCCCTTAAATAGAAGGAAGCTCAGCTGAAGCCTGGGTCCATCGGTGGACAGCCCCTCGACCTTCTTGCTGAAGCTGAGAGGTCGCCCCATCCTCAGGCCAGAAGACCCCATTTCACCAGCAGCTCAGCCCCTTACTCGGGTCTCCTTCCAGGTGACTTCGCCTTGTCAGGCCTTGCCCCCTGCCGAGCTGGTGAGTGTGACTCTGGGATGGGACTGGGTAGACAAGGAACCTCACTGGGTAGCCAGAGAGAAAGGCCCCAGGAGGGTTCCTAGGATGGAATGCCATGGCTGCATACCAGAAGGAAAAATGTCCGAACCTTCTGCTATTCATGTCCTCGCCAGCCTGCTGGGGGTTGGACTCCTCTCCCCTCACCCAGGGAGTGGACACTGACCTCCCTTAACCACTCCCATTTCCTCCCCCATCTTCCTCTAGAGACGCAACACGGCCCCGGTGAGGCGCATAGAGCACCTGGTAAGGTGGTGGTGGGTCGGCCAGGTACTAGCTCTGGGGAGTAAGGGGCTAGGTTTCCTGAGGACAAGAGGATATGGAACTAGACTGGGGACTTAGAATGAGACACCCAAAAAGATGACCAGTCGCTATTTGTCATCCACCAGGGATCCACCAAGTCTCTGAACCACTCAAAGCAACGCAGCACGCTGCCAAGGTGAGTGAGGACCACAGGGGTGATCCCCTCCCTGGTAACCCCTTTCCACCGGCTCCACACCTCAGCCCATGGCAGTGTCCCCCGGCAACGCCCGTGGGGCCAACCCCTACCTCTAAACTGCATTCTGTCCCCTCCACCCCCCCCCCAATCCGGCAAGCCTTACCCGCCTCTTGGTTCTCTATGTCGGCGGTGTCTCCCCCCCTCCCCCAGGAGCTTCAGCTTGGACCCCCTCATGGAGCGTCGCTGGGACCTGGACCTCACCTACGTGACAGAACGCATCCTGGCCGCCGCCTTCCCCGCGCGGCCCGACGAGCAGCGTCACCGCGGCCACCTGCGGGAGCTGGCCCACGTGCTGCAGTCCAAGCACCGGGACAAGTACCTGGTGAGGGGCGGGATTTAGCAGATTCAACCAGTGAGAGAACGGGGAGGTCCAAAGGGGAGCGAGCCGCCAGGGGCCAGCCAGGCCCGCGGGACCGGGCAGGGGCGGGGCAGAGGTGGGGCGGGAGCCAATCAGCAGAAAGCCCTTGGACCCTGAAGACGAATCTGTGACAGCTGGGCTGGGCTTCGGGCACCTTGGGTCCGCCTAAACTAAGGTCACTCTAAAACTCCCCTTTATTTCAGCTATTCAACCTTTCAGAGAAAAGGCATGACTTGACTCGACTGAATCCCAAGGTAGGAGGGAAATGGCTTTGCCCAGCTATTAAACCCAGCCTATACCATCCAAGAGGCCCCAGCCTCCAAGTTACTAGCTAACAATTGATTAGCCTGACGCTGGTGGCTCAAGCCTGTAATCCTAGCTACTCAGGAGACTGAAATATGAGGATCACGGGTTCAAAGCCAGTCCAGACAGAAAAGTCGATGAGACTCTTTATCTCCAGTTAACTACTAGAAAAACCAGAAGTGGCACTGTGGCTCAAAGTGGTAGAGCACTAGCCTTGAGCAAAAGAGCTCAGGGGACAGTGCCTAGGCCCCAAGTTCAAGCCTCCTGACAACTACCATCAACAATTGCTATCCACATCACTCTTAAGCACTCTACATGACCCACCAAACGTGCTGCCGCTGCTGTCAACTAGCTATATGGCTGAAGAAAGTACTGACGCGGACAAAAACCAGCGGCCCTCAACCTTGCCCCCAGATCCCTATGTCTTAGGTCTTTTTCCACATCTTTCTTTGTTCAAGGCCTCACTCACCTCCAATTGCACCCTGGCATTTTTTCTACAGGTTCAAGACTTTGGCTGGCCTGAGCTGCATGCCCCACCTCTGGACAAGCTGTGCTCCATCTGTAAAGCCATGGAGACATGGCTCAGTGCTGACCCTCAGCATGTGGTTGTGCTCTACTGCAAGGTGGGCTGAGATCTCAGGGTCAGGGAGCTGGGGCACCCTCAACCTGGGGCTGCAGTAAGTCCTCCATCTCTGTCTCTCAGGGGAGCAAGGGCAAGCTCGGCGTCATCGTCTCTGCCTATATGCACTACAGCAAGATCTCTGCAGGGTGAGGTCCCAGCACCTGAGTAGCCCTGTCCCAATGTCCCTTTCTCAGCTGGCCCTGTATGAGTCCACCTCTTTGTTCAGAGAACCCCTTGCTGTAAACTTGATATTTCCACCTCCTTTTAGTACCCTGGATTTCACCAGCCTCCAACAGAGGATCTGTATTAGTTTCCTAGAACTTCCTGAACAAAGTACCACAAACTAGGTGGCTTCAAATGACAAAACTTGATTGTCTCCCAGCTTTAAAGGCAAAAAGTTCAAATCAAGGTGTCAGCCACGGCCTTGCTTTCTCTGTGACTCTGACTCCTTCCCTGCCCTCTTTCTAGCTCCTGGTGGTGGCTAGCAATACCTGGTGTTCCTTCCTTGAGTTGCAGCAGCAGCACTCCTGCCTCTATTTCTGGCCTGACATGGTGTTCCCTGTCTTTCTATGTCTCTTCTCTTCTCTTCTCATAAGGACCAGTCACATTGGATTAAGGGCCTCCTGCATGATCTCATCTTAACCTAACTAATTTCATCTGCATCGACCCTATTTCCAAATAAGATCACACTCTGAGGTATATGTCTTCTTGGGGGGAGCACAGCTCAAGCCTTCACATTGTCTGACCGCCCCATTTGACAAAAAAGAACAGTTCAGGGAACCATTCCCCCAAACCCAACAACTAGGAAAGTGACTGTTCTATGGTGCTTCTAGTTGCCTTTATCACCATTCTGAAGGGACCCCCTCTCTCCTCCTTCCCTTGGGCTTAGGCATAGGAGGCCAGCAGGACACCCAGTCTCTGAAATTCCTGAAACCTATCCTGCTCTTCCTAGGGCTGACCAGGCGCTGGCTACTCTCACCATGCGAAAATTCTGTGAGGATAAAGTAGCTGCAGAACTGCAGCCTTCCCAGCGCCGGTGAGCAGCCTGTTGGGGATGGGCTAGATTCTTGTCGTACGTTGCACCTGAACTCGGTACCGCCTATGTACCAGGTCCTTGTATCAAGTGCTGAGAATTCAGAACAAACAAGTTCTAGCTCTTGTGCAGAAGTAGTGGAATAGTTTACAAGAAGCCTGTGAATAAAGACTGGAGCATCTTCTGTGGTAAATTCTATGAAGAAAATAAAGCTAACCTAGGTATCAGCGGCTCCTACCTGTAATCCTAACTCCTCAGGAGGCTGAGAGCTGAGAATCACAGTTCAGAGCCAGTCCAAGCAGGCTCAAGTGGTAGTATGCCAACCTTGGATGAAAAAGCTAAGGGACAGTGCCCAGCCCTATATATAACCTTTTTTCTTTGGCGGCAGGGGGGTGGGGAGGGAGAGCAGTCCTGGGGCTTGAACTCAGGGCCTGGGCACTATCCCTGAGCTGCTTTTGCTCCAGGCTGGCACTCTACCACTTGAGCCACAGTACCACTTCTGTTTTTTTTTTGGTATTGAGGAATAGAACCCGGGGCTTCATGCATACTAGGCAAATACCAGTAAACCACATTCCCAGCCCTATATATATAACATTTAACACAGCAAGAAAGATAGAGGTTAACCCAGGCACTGATGGCTCATGCCTGAAATCCTAGCTGCTCAGGAAGCTAGGATCTGAGGATTATATTTTGAAGCCAGCTTGGGCAGGAAAGTCTTTGAGATTTTCGTCTCCAAAAAAGATTGGAAGTGGCTCAAATAGTATAGCAGTATCCTTGAGCAGAAGAAACTCAGGGACAGTGCCCAGGTCCTCAGTTCAAGCCCCAGGACTGGCAAAAGAAAAGAAAGAAAGATAGAGGTTAGATGTAAAGAACAACTTCCTGGTGAGCTAGAAGATGAGAGGGAATTGCTGAGGACAAAAGCAGGTCTCCAAAAGATTGAGTGAATATTCATGATTGAACTGATCTAAGGCGCCCTCTAGAGGAAAGGGGGTTGATGTTTCTCTTCGATCCTCACCAGATACATCAGCTATTTCAGTGGGCTGTTGTCTGGCTCCATCCGAATGAACAGTAGCCCTCTCTTCCTGCACTATGTGCTCGTGCCCATGCTGCCAGCCTTTGAGCCCAGCACAGGTGAGTCTACCTGAGATAATTTCATGGGGACAACCCCTTCCACCCCTGACCATTCAGCACCTCTCATGTGCCTTCCTTACCCACTCCAGGCTTTCAGCCGTTCCTCAAAATCTACCAGTCTATGCAACTCGTATACACATCCGGAGTCTAGTGAGTGCCCTGTTCCCAGGCCCTACTCTACCACGGTCAGGCCCTCCCCTCCCTGTTCCTTGGATGCCTGCTTTCCAACTTCTTCGAGCCTAACCTTCAGGCTCCAGCAGTGGTTCCTAAAATCAGATATTCCACAGAGCCCATTTTTTTACAGATGGGGCAGCTGAAGGTCTCTCACTAGGGCTGACCCCAGTCTCCCAGCTCCCTCCTCCCTATGCATAGGTGACTGACTGACCTGCTTTCTCTCTGCCGTACAGTCATGTTGCAGGCCCTGGGCCCCAGCAACTTTGCATCAGCCTGGAACCAGCCCTCCTCCTCAAAGGCGACGTCATGGTGAGGGGGGCAGGGGGTCATAGCAATAAGTAGTCCTGGGGATTGCTGCAAAATCACCTGAGAGTCTTCAAGCAGATTTGAAGGCAAAAAGGGAACACTTTCCAGGGAGGTTAAGGCAGTGCAGGAGCAGTAGTTAGACAATCTCGAGGGCAGAGGTACAGAGGAGGCAAAATGGACCTGAAGTCATGAACTCGTCTCCTGCCCCTCCCCAGGTAACCTGCTATCACAAGGGTGGCCGAGGGACAGACCGAATCCTTGTGTTCCGAGTCCAGTTCCACACATGCACCATCCATGGACCACGGCTCACTTTCCCCAAGGACCAGCTAGACGAGGCCTGGACTGGTAAGTTTGCAAGGCAAACAGGTGGGCAGGGAAGTTGTGGGGCCAGAGCCTGGCTCCTCACTGCCTGTTCCCTACAGATGAGAGGTTCCCCTTCCAAGTCTCAGTGGAGTTTGTCTTCTCCTCTAGCCCAGAGAAAATCAAAGGTAGGAGTGTTAAGAGTGGAGCAGGGCTGGGGATAGGAGGGTGAGTGAGGGGGAAGAGCAGGGGCTGAAGATTGCATTCCTCTGCTCTTCCACCTGGCACTTTCCTCCATAGGCAACACTCCCCGGAATGACCCTTCCGTCTCTGTGGACTACAACACTGCAGAGCCTGCTGTGCGCTGGGACTCCTATGAGAACTTCAACCAGCACCATGAGGACAGTGTGGATGGTGGGTAGGGTGGTTGGATAGTTGGGAAGTGCAGGCTATGAAGGGGGAAGAGGAAGGGAAAGGAAGAAACATTCCTTCTGCCCCAGATAGAGACTCCCGGCTCCCAGAATACAGCCAAAGCCCTCCAGCTAGAATGTCCAGTACAATCCTAGTTTGTTAACCCTCCCCTTTCTCCACTTCAGGCCCCTTGGCGCATACCCGAGGCCCCCTGGATGGCAGCCCTTATGCCCAGGTGCAGCGAGCACCCCGCCAGGCCCCGCTGGCACCCTCTCCAGAGCCTCCCCCACCCCCCATGCTCTCTGTCAGCAGTGACTCTGGACATTCATCCACACTGACCACCGAGCCAACTGCCGAGTCCCCTGGCCGGCCACCACCAACAGCAGCTGAGAGGCAGGAGCTAGACCGCCTCCTGGGGGGCTGTGGGGTGGCCAGTGGGAGCCGGGGAGCTGGGCGAGAGACAGCTATCCTAGATGATGAAGAACAGCCTCCTGTGGGTGGAGGGTCCCACCTGGCAATGTATCCAGGCCAGCGGCCTGGTCTCAGCCGCCACTGCTCCTGCCGCCAGGGCTACCGGGAACCCTGTGGCATCCCCAATGGGGGCTTCTACCGGCCGGATGGAACCCTGGAGAGGCGGCGGCCGCCTTTCGGGGCTGGCTTCGAGGGTCTTCCCCACGGCTTTGCCGAGCCCTCCATGGAGAAGAGGCGCCTCTGCCGGTCACTATCAGAGGGGCCATACCCTTATGCACCTGAGCTGGCGAAACCTGCCACTGCCAATGGGGACTTCGGCTACCGCCCTGCTGGCTATCGGGAGGTGGTGATCCTGGAAGACCCTGGAGTGCCTACCTTATGCTCATGCCCAGCCTGTGAGGAGAAGCTGGCACTGCCCACTGCAGCCCTGTATGGACTGCGGCTGGAGAGGGAGGCTGGAGAGGGATGGGCTGGTGAGACCAACAAGCCCCTCCTGCACCCAGTGCGGCAGGGACACGCACTGCCTCTGCTAGTGCCTGCCTATGGGCACCACCATGCCCCCATGCCTGACTACAGCTGCCTGAAGCCACCCAAGGTGGGTGAGGAAGGGCACGAGAGCTGCTCTTATGCCGTGTGCCCCGAAGGCAGGTATGGACATCCAGGCTACCCTGCCCTGGTGACCTATGGCTATGGAGGAGCAGTGCCCAGTTACTGTCCAGCATACGGCCGGGCGCCTCACAGCTGTGGATCTTCAAATGAAGGCAGAGGGTATCCTAGTGCTGGTGCCCACTCACCACAGGCGGGCTCCATTTCTCCGGGAAACCCACCCTACCCTCAATCCAGGAAGCTGAGCTATGAGACCCCTGCAGAGGAGGGAAGGGACAAGTACCCTCTACCTGGGCATCTGGCCTCAGCAGGAACCTTGGCATCTGCAGGTGAGGGGCATCAGAGCGGGAATGCCCAGGACACAGGAGGGCTCTGAAGGCTAGTAGGGACACCAAGGAGGACTCAGCCAGGCAGAAAAATCAGCTCCTGTGTTCAGTCCCATCTCTCCCTTTCACTACAGAGTCCCCTGAGCCAGTGTCCTGGAGGGAAGGCCCTAGTGGGCACAGCACTCTGCCTCGATCTCCCCGGTCTCCCAGAGATGCCCAGTGCAGCGCCTCTTCAGAGCTGTCAGGTCCCTCCACACCCCTGCACACCAGCAGCCCGGTCCAGGGCAAGGAAAGGTATGTGAGGGCTCAAATCTAATAAAACCTAACTTTCCACCCAACCCCAGGGCATGCCCTCCTCCCCCAGAACAGTCACTGGGGCACCTTGTCCAAGTGGGCAGAGCTGTGAGAATGGTTCTCTGACCATCTCCCCTTCTATCCTGCAGCACCCGACGGCAGGACACCAGGTCCCCCACCTTGGCACCCACTCAGAGACTAAGTCCTGGTGCAGCCTTGCCCCCTGTTTCTCAGGGAGGTGCCGACAAGGCTCCTGAACTGCCAGCAAGAACTGGGCCTGAACCTGCAGGCCCTCGCTCCTTCTCCCCGACCTCCCCTCCCAGTTCTCCCAATGACTGGCCTCAGGAAAGGAGCCCAGGGAGCCACTCAGACAGTGCCAGTCCTCGGGGTCCTGTGCCCACTACCCTGCCTGGCCTTCGCCATGCCCCCTGGCAAGGTCCTCGAGGCCCCCCAGACAGCCCAGATGGGTCTCCCCTCACCCCTGTGCCTACTCAGATGCCTTGGCTTGTGGCCAGTCCAGAGCCTCCCCAGAGCTCACCCACACCTGCCTTCCCTCTGGCCACATCCTATGACACCAATGGCCCCACTCAGCCCCCACTTCCTGAGAAACGCCACCTCTTGGGACCTGGGCAACAGTCGGGACCCTGGAGCCTAGAGCAGACATCACCACCAGCCAGAGGCACCAGCCACCATGTCACCTTTGCACCTCTGCTCCCGGATAATGCCAGTCAGCCCTCAGGTATAAAGGCCTTGAGAGAGAAAGAACCTGTTCTCTCAAAAAGAAGCCTGGGGACTGAGAGCTCTGGTATCTGAACAGTCTCTCCCTCTCCCAGAGCCCCCTACCCAAGAGAGCCAAAGCAATGTCAAGTTCGTCCAGGACACATCCAAGTTCTGGTACAAACCACACCTGTCCCGTGACCAAGGTAAGAAGTCAGCATCCTCCATGTCACCCCACCTTCTAAGGACTTCTGTCTTGACTTCAAGTCCATCCTAGTGAGGCCCTTGGCTCATGCTATCTCTGCTTATGGGTTCTTGGATAAGCCTCTCATCAGCAGGTGATTCTGGGCTTCAGACCCAAGATTAGACTCAACACTGTCAAAGCATCTGTGAACTCCATAAAGTTCTGTCCTCAGATGGCTGCCACCCCTCCCCATGACAAGAGAGATCTGGAGCTCATTAGTAGAGGAGCTCAGTCAGCCACAGTACAAACTCTTCCCTACTGCTTTCTCTCCACCTCCCTGCAGCCATTGCCCTGCTGAAGGACAAGGACCCTGGAGCCTTCCTGATCAGGGACAGTCACTCATTCCAAGGAGCCTATGGGCTGGCCCTCAAAGTGGCCACACCCCCACCCAGTGCCCAGCCCTGGAAAGGTACTGCATGGAAGGTCCACGTCTAAGGGAGGCAGGAGTGAAATGGGGAGAAGATAATAGGTGTAGGCTGGGATGGAGGAGCACTCCATGGAGGGGAGGGGCAGGAAAAGACCTCAGCTGCTCAGGAAAGAATCCCATCAAGGGAGATGGGAGCCTAGAATCTAGTAAAGCCTTACTTGCCTCCCCTCACCACCTCAGGGGACCCACTGGAACAGCTGGTCCGCCATTTCCTCATCGAAACTGGGCCCAAAGGGGTGAAGATCAAAGGCTGTCCCAGTGAGCCCTACTTTGGTGAGAAACAGAAGCTGGGGGGAAGGTTTCACTGGATTGGGTTAGGGAGAAGCCAGGAGATCTCAGGAGGGTAAAAAGCGGAGTGTTACCAGTGGGCACCTCAGGACTTTTCTCCCCTCTCCCCCACCCCCCACAGGCAGCCTGTCCGCCCTGGTCTCACAACACTCTATCTCCCCCATCTCCCTGCCCTGCTGCCTGCGTATTCCCAGTAAAGGTGGGTAATCTGTGCTCACCTGTCACCACCCCTTCAGGTCCTGGCTCCCAGCCTTCCTTTGTCGAGTTCTCACGCTCCTAGGTTATGATAATCTCCTTTCTTATCCTTCTCTGTTGAACCTCATTTCCCTCAGATCCTCTGGAAGAGACCCCAGAGGCTCCAGTGCCCACCAACATGAGCACAGCGGCAGACCTCCTACGTCAGGGCGCTGGTAGAGAACTCTCCCTCCCTTCTCTCTCTCTGGGCACTAGAGACTGTGCAGCTGTGGGGGAGGGGACACTGAAGGGGCTGGAGGTGGTGGGTGGGCCCTTGTAATACACTTAACCCATGAAGGAAGGAGCAGCTAGTTTTCAAGGGGTGGGAAAAGGGGAGTACTGGCCTAGGTTCTCGACTTATGATACTGGCACTCACAGTGGTGAGGGTAAAGATTCCCAGATTAAGCTCCTTCCCAGCATCCCTAACTGTAGAACAGATACAGAAGCTGGGACTGCCTTCCTCACATATCCCCTCCATGATTCTACTGAATTCTGAAACACCAGCTAGAGAAAGTATACGAGCTGTAGCAGTGGGAGACAGGGAGGAGGGGGTCCCGGAGATCTGGGTGCTTGGCAGAGACATATTCCTTTCCTGATCTGCTTCCTAACCCTCCTCCCATCCCCCCTCCCCCAGCCTGCAGTGTGCTCTATCTGACCTCAGTGGAAACAGAATCACTGACTGGCCCCCAAGCAGTGGCCAGAGCCAGCTCTGCAGCTCTGAGCTGCAGCCCCCGCCCAACGCCAGCCATTGTCCACTTCAAGGTCTCAGCCCAAGGCATCACACTGACAGACAACCAAAGGAAGTGAGTCTGTACAACCACCCTCCTAGAACCCCACACAAAGGCCCTTGGAAGCCAAGATTCCTTAAGGAAGTAAGACTTTCCATCTCCACAGGCTCTTCTTTCGCCGCCATTACCCAGTGAGCAGCATCACCTTCTCCAGCACTGACCCTCAAGACCGCAGGTGACCCTCCCTCCATGCCCTTAATCTGGCCTGTGGTCCCCCCAGGCCTGGCCCCAGCTCCCCCCTCAGTAGCTGTGCCATGGGATGCACTCCCTCACAGTTTTTCTCCTTTTGCAGATGGACCAACCCAGATGGGACCACCTCCAAGTAAGCTTCCCCATGAGTCCAACACAAGCTCTCAGGACAAGGCACCTCCATCCTCCCCAACCCTGGCATGAGGTTACCTGCCCCACTCAACAACACTCCTTGCCCTGGTTTTGTCCCCATAGGATCTTTGGTTTTGTGGCCAAGAAGCCAGGAAGCCCTTGGGAGAACGTGTGTCACCTCTTTGCGGAGATGGATCCAGATCAACCTGCAGGCGCCATTGTCACCTTCATCACTAAAGTTCTACTAGGCCAGAGAAAATGAAGGAAGGCCACAAGCTCCAAGCCTATGTCAACACTGCACCTTCCCAGCACTCCACAGCCCACACTGCCCTGGCCTGGACCCAGGAGTCCCAGGAGCCAGCACCCCTAAGGAGAAATGAAAGCTGGCCTGGGCTGCTGCACTTTTCCCACCCCCAGCCTGCTAAGCTAAGTGGATGGGCCTATGAGATGACCTTGCATGTGAGCAGATGGCAGAGACAGTGTGTGGGGTGAGGAGACACAGCAGTTGAGAGCCCTGGAACAGATCGGGACAGGACCACCTGCAGGAGCACATGAGCCCTGCCAGTTCCAATGGGCTGCAGGTCCCAGCATGGGAGGGGGGGAAGGGGGGAGGAGGATGTCACTCTCCCCTCTGTCTCCTCTCTAAGCACAGATCAGAGTGAGATCACATGAATAGAGGATTAAAAGAGTCTATTTTTGTCTAATAAAGAATTTCTATTAATGTTCAAGGAGTTGATAACCTTATTCAATGGAAGGTCTGTTTTGTGTTCCTTTGTTTTGCCAGTCCTAGAGCTTGAACTCAGGGCCTGAGCTCTGTCTCTAAGCCCCTCTTTGCTTAAGGCTAGTGCTGTACCACTTAAGCCATACCACCACTTCTGGCTTTTTCTGTTTTGTGGTACTGAGGAATCAAACCCAGGGCTTCATGCATGCTAGGCAAGCAGTCTACCACCGAGCCACATTCCCAGCCCAAGGTCAAAGTTTTGTGTATCCTGGAGGCACAACTGTGCTTCATGAGGGCATCCTAAGGCCATGAACATATATGATCCCCTCCCTGCACTTAAGACTGATCCCTATCTTCACCAGGGGCCCTTCACCCTCTATCCTGGGGCCCTGGCCCTCTGTACTGGGAAACATTCCCATTCTGGCTGTACTGATAAATACGGAAACTCCGTCTTTATTGGCTGTATAAACATCTCTGGTCTGTACATACATTTCATACATCATAGTGCAGGGCCAAAAGGGAGGACCAACGGGGTCCCAGCAGCACAACAGCACAGCACACCCATTTTCCCCAAGGCCCTGCCCACTCTGTGCAAACCAAGGCCAAGAGCTCCTGTTCCCTCTTCCTTCCCTTACTCCTATGGGGAGGGGCTCAGGGTCAAGGCGGGAGAAAGTGGTATGAGGGCTTGGGGGAATCTATGTAAGTGATAGAATCAAACACTGAAGCAAAACAGGCAACTGGTACAAGCAGCAAGCTAGGGTGTGAGGCAGGCAGGAATGGGGGCAGGTAAAGGGGAGTAAGGGGCCACAGCATTAGCCATGCCCCAGAGCCCTCAGCCTCCATCCCAGAGAGCTAGGGACACAGATGCCACCAGAGAACATGGCCAGGAAGCAGGGAACAAAGGCCAGTCCTGTCTACTACACATGTACTAAGCACCCTGTATGTGAACGAGTGGGAGGAGCCAGACTCAGACTCAGTGGGATGGATAATGGTGCCTGAGCAGGGAGAAGACAGGGAGCCAGCCAGGGGAAAGGGTAGATACCCTGGAGGAGGAGTCTTTTCAGGGCAGCAGCTAGTAAAAGGAGAGAGACCCAAGAGAGGCCCCCTAGGCCAGCCAGGGGGAGAGACAGCAGTGATTGGCTCACAAGATGAGGACACGGAACAAAAAAAAGAGAAACCAAGGGGAGATATGTACTAAGTAGGAGACAGGCTGCCTCTACACCCTCTGCAAAGTGTCACGCTCAAACAGCAGCTGAGAACGGGGCGAGCTCCTCTCGACTCACACAGGGCCAGCAAATGAAAGGGGATTCAAGTGCCTGACCAAAGCAAGGGAGGCCCAGCCATGTATCAACACTGTTCTTTGGGCCTGTTTCTGTCCAACCAGGGACTCGGGCCCAGGGACTGATGATTACAGATGGCATCAGGTAAGAAAGGTCAAGCTTGACCAGGACCTGGGTTGGTAGGGGTCAGAGTGAATGTACCCCCAGGGCCTGTAGAGTAAACAAATCCCAGGGGAAGCCAGGAACTGAGCTCCCAGCCCTTCAAAGGGTGTGCAGAGAGAGGAGGGCGGGTGTGAAGGAGGAGGCCTAGCCACTCAGGGGATGCAGGTCTACTTTCACTTTCTCCCCACAGCTCAGCATTCCAATGGTGGGGAAGAAGCCTCCCGAAGGTACAACCGCATCTTTCTTCCCAATGATCTTGCCATTTCGGGTGAAGAAAACCTGGTGGTAGGGGGTGGGGAGAATGGAAGAAACTCTGAAGTCTTCTCTTGATAATGGAGCTACTCAGCTTTGAAACCTATGGCTCCCAACTCCCAGCATGGACTTCAGGAGACAGTTGGGGCAACATGGGAAGAGACCACGAGAGGGCGTGCTGAGGCTGGAAAACAGACTCCTAGCCTCGGCTTTCACACTCTGGTGACCCCAGGACACTCCCAGGGCAGTACCAAACCATACCCTTTCCTACCCAAGCCACGGTCCTATTCCTACTCGCAGCAGTCCCTGCCAGTCCCAGGACCCCAAAGCCAACCCAAACCTCCCTACTCACCACCACCTTCTTGCCCTCATGCTCCTGCTCTATCTCTTCCCCATCTTCTTCCTCTTCCTCTTCCTCCTCTTCTTCTTCCCCTTCTTGGTGCAGGTACATGACATTCCGGACGTTCCGTACAGCCCGGGCAGTTGGGGACAGGATCACTGTGTCACAACTGTCATCACTGTCACCTAGAAGACAGGAAACCTGAACTCATGCTACCCCTGAACTCATGCTGCCCTGTTCTCTAGACAGCCTGTTGCTGCACTACCCTACTCACCCTCACTATCCAGAATATAGTCCCGGGGAAACATGATTCCACAGCCCATAATGTCCCCTTTATAACAGCGTGGTCCAAAGGGGTCTCCCACACCACTACCATGGAAGATCTTCCCATCATCTGTTGGAAAGAGGGGAGAGACATACTTGACGGAGGGTGGCATTATATCCCAAGACTGAAACAAAGCTGAGGGGACATATGGTAAGGGGGCACTAGTTTTTTTTTTTTTTTTCGGGTCGTGGGGCTTGAACTCTGGGCCTGGGCGCTGTCCCTCAGCTCTTCAGCTCAAGGCGAGCGCTCTACCACTTGAGCTACAGCGCCACTTCCGGTTTTCTGGTGGTTTATTGGAGATAGGAGTCTCACGGTCTCTCCTGCCCGGGCTGGCTTTGAACCGCGATCTTCAGATCTCAGCCTCCTGAGTAGCTAGGATTACAGGCATGAGCCACCAGCGCCCGGCTGGGGCACTAGTTTTTTAAGGAGTGGGGAAACACAAGATCTATCAGACTAAAGGAGAACTGGTTAAAAGAAAGAGGGAGCCCCTACGGAAGGAATAATCATGCAAGGAAAGGGAGGTGAACCGGAACCAAGTTTTAGTCCTCTTCTCAAGAAAGCCCTCAAGGAAGTCAAACAAAACCAAAAAAAGAAAATAAATCTGCAAGAGCTACAGGAAGGGCACAAAGGAGCCAACTCAAAGACCTGGAATGTTCAGTTCAGGCCCAGTTTTCCCACCCTGTCCTATTCCCCTGGCTTTCAAGGATGGGAGGAAAATAAGACGAGAGGAAAACAAGAGCTTTTTCATTAGGGGAAAGAGAAAGAGAAGGCCCCTCAGAAGAGACCTGGGCAAATAGATGTTCCTAGGGTTCTTTGTCCCTATACCCTCCCTTTACTGTGAGCTCTCTACTTACCTGCATGGTAAGCCACGGACCCTCTGCTCCAGCCAGGGTGTCTGTTCTTGGGATAATCCTGTACCAAGGAGGGAAAAACAATGTGTGGTATCATGTACAAAAGAGAGGACAAAAAAGAGTGGTGTCTGAATCTGTCAGCTTTTGGAGAGCCTACTATGCAGACATCAGCTTTCAGGACCAGGGCTGTCCCACCCCACATCCAGGCCTTAGAATATGTGGGATATAGTCTCAATATTCTGGGGTCCTTAGTCACATGCGGTCTGTCACCTTACATGCTCTATCCCAACAGCCCAGCACTAAGCAGCTGCACCATAAGAAAAAAAGCCCAGAGCCAGGCGCTCACACTTCACACCTGTAATCCAAGCTACTCAGGAGGCTGATATCTGAGGATCACAGTTTGAAGCCAGCCTGCCTGGAGACTCTTATCTCCAACTAACAACCAGGAAGTCGAGCTGTGGCTCAGAGTGAGAGAGCTTTATCCTTGAGCAGAAAAACTCAAGGTCAGAGTCCAGGCCCTTAGTTCAAGCCCCATGACTGACCAAAAGAGAAAAGAAAAAAAGACTAGCACTCATGCCTACCTTCCGGGCCAGCCCCAAGGCAATGTAGCATTTCTCTCCAGGATCCACGATCTCCACCTCAAAATAGTGGCTACGGGTGCTCAGTGGATGCCGGGCCTGAGCTAACCCCACATCCACGATGCTTTTGCCTTTCCCCAAGTACTCCAGCAGCTGGGAAGGAAGAGCCAGGTGGCAGTTAAGGGTCAAGCTGACACTGCCCCAGAAACCTGGTCCCAAGGTCCTGAATCTGATAGAATCCCCTGGTTGAAAGGAAAAGGAGCCTGGTGCCCGTGGCTCACGCCTGTAATCCTAGCTACTCAGGATGCAGAGATCCAAGGATCATGGTTCAAAGCCATCCAGGCCAGGAAAGTCCATGAGACTCTTTTTTTTTTTTGGGTCAGTCGTTGGGCTTGAACTCTGGGCTTGGGCGCTGTCCTTGTGCTCAAGGTGAGCACTCTACCACTTGAGCCACAGTGCCACTTCCGGGTTCTCTAGTGGTTTATTGGAGATAAGAGTCTCTCAGACTTTCCTGCCCGGGCTGGCTTTGAACTGAGATCCTCAGATCTCAGCCTCCTGAGTAACTAGGATTACAGGCGTGAGCCACTGGTGCCTGGCTCCATGAGACTCTTCAATAAACCACCAGAAAACCAGAAGTGGTGCTGTGGCTCAAGTGGTAGAGCACTAGCCTTGAGCTAAAGAGCTAAGCAACAGTGCCCAAGCCCAGAGTTCAAGCCCCACAACCGACAAAAAAAAAAAGAAAGAAAGGAAAAGGATTCTGGAGGCACAATGTGGCCTCAAAGTTCTAACCAGGGATAGAAGAACAGGGTTCAGTAAGGGAGAAAGGGTGGCAGCAGAATGAGCAAGAGGTGCCCCTTGTTGGATGCTTCCTTGCCTTCCTTCTGATCTCTGGGGCACTAGAGAGCAGCACGGTGGTTTGACGAACAGCAGAGTGCCAGGAACCCCACTAAGACCTTAGGCTGGAGTACCCCTTCCCTGGATGGCCTGCTGGGAAAGGGAAGAGAAGTGAAAACTAGGCTGTGAGGAACCCACCCTCTCAGGGAGCTTTAATGAGGCAAGGAAGAAGCAGAAGTTAGTTGCCAACAACAGGAGAAGGGAACAAGCTCAGAAGCTGATTCTGCTGGGGATGGGATGATTTCTCAAATTCTTTGTTTTACTTGGCCTTCAGCAGAGCCATTCATTGCTGGGTCAAGGAAGTGCTAAGGGAAGCCCAGGAACCTGAACTATTCATTTAG